TCCACAGGTGGGACCCAGTAGTCTAACAAGCCTTCCAGGGAATTCTGAAGCATGCTGAAGTTGGGGAACGACTACAATCTAAAAATGAGGAGGAATAGCTTGATGATCAAGAGCACAGGGTTTGGAGCCCCCGGACTAGGTTCTCCAAAACCACTGGGGTAGCTGTGCACTGTTGGGCAAGTTATTCAACCTCTCCGAACCTCATTGTTCTCATAGAATACTTACAAGATTTATGTGAAATGACAAAGTGCTTGGGGTATAGCAAGCACTGGGTAAATGATAGTTTTCATTATTATTATTTTTTTGCTTCTCTATGCATGGCATTATTCTTAGGAATTCAAAGAGTTCAAGGAAATTCATTTTCAATACCAGCATAAAAACAGAAATCCAAAGACAACTTTAAATGATTTTTTTTCAAAGTACCCACCATTTTTTATTTTACCTGTCACTCCTTCTTGTCTTGGCATGGATAAATCAAGAATTGCCTCTAAAAAGAAAGCATGTAGGAATAACATTCTAAAAAGAAAGCATTTAGGAATAACATTTATCGGGTATTGGGCAGGTGGGAGTGGGGAGGAGGGGATGGGTAAATACATACATGATGAGTGAGATGTGCACCGTCTGGGGGATGGTCATGCTTGAAGCTCTGACTTGAGGGGAGAGGGAGGGGTAAGGGCATTATACGTAACCTTAAAATTTGTACCCCCATAATATGCTGAAATAAAAAAAAAATAAAACATAACATAAAAAAAAAAGAAAGCATGTGTCAAGAGACTTGGAGAGACCTTTTACCAGAGAGCATATTCAAATTGACAGTCAATACATGCAAAGGTGCTGAATCTCATTAATCACCAGGAAATGCAAATAAAAGCTACAACGAAATCTCACTGTACAGTCACCAGATTAAATGATAAAGATGCAATGCCAAGTGTGGGTGAGGATGTGGAGCAACTGAAACTCTCAAACACTGCTACTGGAAGTATGAATCTGGCAGATCTAATAAGCTAGATATATAATTTGTGATATGTAATTTGTGAGGCATCATCTCATTCTTAGATATATAGCTAACAGAAATGAGTAAACATCTTTACTCACGGACATCTACATGAATGTTCTCAGCAGCGTTATTTGTAAGAACCAAAACCTGAAAACAACTCAAAAGCCCATAGTAGAATGGATACATTGTGATATATTTATGCAAAGGAATACTATCCAGCAAAAATACTGGAACAGCTTTATGCAACAAAATGGGTGAATTCAGTCAATTTCGGTTGAGAGAAGCCAGATGCAGGTGACACAATATGTACGATCTCATTAATGAGTATGTCAGAAACAGGCAGAACTAATCTGTGGTGATAGTGATTGTCCTGGTGGGGAGAGATGTTGATTGGAAAGAGCCATGAAAGGGGTTTCTGGGATGTTGGCATCATTTTATTTTTTGATCTGGATGACAGTTATTGAAGCATTTGTGAAAATTTATTAAGCAATCTATGATTTGTACATTATATATATATATATTTACATATATAAATGTGAAACTTCAAAACAAAATTTTGCCTAAAATATCTATGCAATAACATGCAAAATGTTTATAGAAAACCAAAAAGCATGATTGAGGGAAGCAGTAGAACTGGAAGTGACTAGAATATGTCAATGATTTTCACATAGCCTTAACTCCTGTTGCTGTACGGCTGATTAAAACAAGGATCTCACACACACACGCACACACACACACAGCAACATGCACACACACAATGTCTTCCTCCAGTATAGAAGTAGTTAACGAATTTCCAAGATAACTGTTTTTAAAAATCTGGATCTTTGAAAGTGGTAGCGAAAGGAAATAACTACCTCCAGTATTATCACTGGCCATAATGGCAGAACACCTTTTAGATATTTAATTTAGTTTGTGGTTCTCATTATTTTCTCATTAGATCCTCATAATTCCGTGGTGGATGTTGAAAAATGTGGTTACTGTTCCAAGTTTAAGAATGGGGATGCTAAGCTGAAGTGAATTTCAGTGACTTCTCCTGGATCACTCAACTGCTACATGGCGGGCATTGTTGGGGACTCAAGCCCGGTTCTTCTGGTACCCGATTTCCTGACATTGCTATTAAATGGTGACACTTTCTAGGTACTTGGAGGAAACTCCTGACTCATAGCTTCTCAGGCCATATAGAAAAACCACATAGAACTCATCAGACCGTTTGCAAACGGTACTGGGATATTATGCATAATATTAGTGTCAAGGTTATGATGCAGCTTGTTAAAGATTATGCACAGATTCTTCCTTGAATCCAGAGGATGGCATGGTTACTTTTAGAATTTATCTATGTTGTCTGTGTTTTAGAGCAAGAACAACCTACCCATAAGAAACAAATGAATAAAATAGAAGAATAGAAGAAAAAGGTAGAAAATAATTAAGAACAAATTGCTTTTTAAGGACATATTTATTAGATTGTAAAAGTTTATGTATTTTGAATAAAGTTTGGCTAAACCAAAAGAATTCAAAGAATAAAACAAAATTACTATCCTCAAGCCAGGGAGTGCGGAATGATCATAAACAATTAAAGCGTTTCCTTCCAGAGCTTTTTATATCTATAATATACAGGCTTAAACAACAGTCATGCTTTTGCAACTGTGTTGCTGTCTAGTTTTTTGTCAGATAACATTATTGTGAATATTTTCCAATTCCATTACATATTCTTTTTTTTTTTTTCTTTTTTTTTTTTTTGAGTCAACGTTAGTTAGAATCCATTACATATTCTTATGAACATTATTTTCAATAGCTACATTGTAATTTGTCCAACCTTCCTTTTAATATCGGACATTTAGATTGCGTCCAATATTTTACTATTGTAAAAAGGGCTTTAGTGAACATCTTACTCATAAATTTGAATTCATCATGGTGATTTTCTTAGAATAGTAGTGGCATCTTCCGATTGTTCTTTATAATCATTTTAGGCTTAGGGCACATAATGATAACATCTGTTATGATCCTGGAAATCTACTGAATCATACTTTACACAGGCTCTGGTTGGAATCCTGGCTTTACCAGATACTAGCTGTATGATCTTGGGTGGATCACTAAGCTCAGAAAGCTTCCCTGTCTTCATCTATAAAATGGGAATATAATTTTCCACGTTATCTCCCTATAAGGAGGATTAAATGAGGAACTCGGTGTTCAGGAGATGTTGTTTAAATTCCTATTTAGTTCTGCCAAAGAATGATGTAAATTTTATGCACTTTTGGGGGCTTCTTGTAGTTACTGACTAATGTTTTAGACTTTTAGTCAGATACATACTCATCCTTTTAGATCAAGGATCAACAAAGTATGACCCATGGGCTGAATCCTTTTCACCTGTTTTTGTAGATAAAGTTTTATTGGAGCACAATCTTGTAAACCTTGCTAATTTCTTTACCTATAGCTTGCTGCTGCTTCCTGCAACAGTGCCAAGCTGAAAATATTTACAGAAAAACTTTACAGGAAAAGTTTGCAGACTTCTGCTTCAGATCAGTCACAAAATATTTATTTCTGAGCTCATGAAAGATAAGTGTATTGTACTTCTAAAAAACATTTTTTCCCCCTGTGGTAGAGGATAGACTCAAGCTATGTGCGGCCGAGATGACTCTATTGAATGTGGATGCTACCTAGTTACAAAAGGAACAAGAAGATGTGAGCCTCACACTTTGATTGACACACCGGTCTTTTTAGATTTCTCTGGGAAAAAGTGAGGTTGACCTTAAATGAGAGTGGAGTGCCTTTTATCTATGTTGTCTGTGTTTTAGAGCAAAAGCTGGCATTGTCCAACTTGAAGCTTCATTGGGAGTGTTTTGGAAGTGTTTGTCGTGAGAGTGCAGGACTGGCTCTCTGGCTCTTGCCACTACAATGAACCTATTTTTATGAAATTGATTCTGGGTCAGACTGGCTCGGATTCAGCTCACAGAATGTCTGAGAGGTTCTGTCACCCTGTGGCTCTGTTTCGAGGGTGGCGGTGGAGCTTGGGGCTGTGGCTCAGTTCCTGAGGCTGGCTCCTGACTGTTCCTCCCACCTCTTCCCCACCTCCTATTCTAAATTCTTTTGGCTGTGTCCTACTGCTTTCAAAATATTTCCAAAATTATATTTGGGACCAGAAAATACAATGTGAGCAAGGCTTCAGAGATTGACTTCTGATAGCAGGAGTTTGGGATAAACATTCTGCAAATACACGCACACTCTAGAAGTGTATGTAAAAGTAGCTCTCTGCTTTGCGTGCAATTGTTCTCCTGGTAGATTGGATGGTTGTTTCTAACTCTTCACCCCTCTCTTTATCCATCTGATTTGGCACCTCTCCCCAGTGGAAATATAGCATATTTCACCACCCAGCGAGTTGCCATCATCCATGTGACTTGCTTAAGCCAATAAAATACACGTAGAACTATCTGTGCCCAAGCCCGAAGAAGTAGCACATGTCCCTGCTTGCCCCTTTTGTGTTCTGGTCATCGCCATGAGAAAAATCATGCTCGGCTAGTTCACTGGCCCGAGGAGGGTGACAGTCATGTGGGACAGATCTGGACCCAGGCTGAAGCCTGACCCAAGCCCAGCTGAGCCACACCCATTTCAGTTGCCCCTAGACAACCTACAGACATAGGAGCATAGACTAATGCTGTTTGTTTTAGGCCACTGAGTTTGGGGCCAGTGTTTTTGTAGCAAGAGCTATCTATGAATAATACAGCAATGTCTCAACCTGCCTGGAGCCCACAGTTGATGGATATTCAACAGTGGTATGTACTGGTCCCATGCTACATGTTACAAATATAGACATGAAGAAAAATATATTATCTACCATTAAGAGCACACAATTTGTGGTAGAAAAGGCAAAAGAGACAATTACCATAAAGTGGGAAGGCTGCTGTGATGGTGGTAAGCCCAGTGCCCCACGGGAGCACAGAGGGCAGTCAGCTCTGGGCTGAGAGCCCATCCGGTAGGATTTCCTGGATAATGTGTGGGCTAAGTCTTCAAGCCTGAGCAGTCATTCCCTAAGTAAGTCAGGCAGGTGGAGAGAACATTTCTATTATTTATTTTCACCCAAAGGTATCTCTGGTAAATAACTGTTGGGCTTTGGTGCAGGCCTATATTATGCCGTTAATTTCATGATATTAATATTAGTAATATTTAATGAACACTGTCTGAGGCAAGGCCCTTGAGTGTTTTGCTTGCCTGATCTCGTTTAATTCCCCACCACCTTGTGTGTTCCGGTTTATAGTCTGCATTAAGATATGATGGCCTCCACTCCAGCGGGGGTATCTGAGAGTCAGTGGTTCCCTGTACAGGTTGAGGCTCATGGTTCTGCAGGGCTGATCCTGTGTTTGACGTGCTTTGATTGTGCTGCGTTAGCTGTCACCTGCTATTAAGTGGAAGAGTGATTCTTTGGTGCCTTCGTTTGGCCGGCTCAGTAGATTCATACATGGTATTAATGAGGCCAAGGCTGTGAGCTCTGTCCTCTACAAGGACCAGTTAGATTCACTGTTTGGAACTCATTACCCGAAGGTAAGGTTTTCAACGAGTACCCGGAGTGGCACCAACAGAAGATGGAGATTCCCAAGTGACTTGCATGATTTCTTTGAGGACAAACCCTACTAGCCGCAGTTTGCTGAGTTCATAGTGCTGTGCTAGGGGATTGTCAAACGACTTCCTTGGGCTCCTGGTTTGCAGATGAGAAAAGCAAAGCTCAGTGATTGTTACTTGCCTAGGGCTATTCGATTGCTTGTAATAGAGCCATGGCTGGGCCTGTCTGGATCCAAAGGCTGTTTGTGAGTCACTCCAGAACAGGGTTTCTCATTCTTGGCGTAAAGTGGGAATTGAATTGACATTTCGGGTTGGGTTGTCTTTTGTCATACGGAGGCTGTCCTGTGCATTGTGGATATTTAGTAGCATCCCTGGCTTCCAAACACACTGGATGCTGGTAATACACTTCTCTCTTCTAGTTGTGACAGCCAAAAATGTCCCCAGTCATTGCCAAGTGTCCACTGAGGAACAAAACCACTGTGCTCTATGGTATCATTGATGGGGGTAACTGAAAGAAACCAGGATCTCTGACTGGGGGGACTTGGACAGAGTAGAGAACCGCCCCCAGACCGCATTTCATGATGGGATTTTGGATTTGAATACCTGTGTGTTCTCTTTGACAAACTGTACTGGACACTCGGGCCAGGGGAAGACGCTGGCCCCGAGCTGAAGGTCCAAACCAGGCTTCATCCATCTGCTTGCTACCTCCTGTCTCCTAGGTACCGTCCCAGCTCTTGCTGGACCTTCTGGGGCAGGGATGTTGGAATCGGACATCTCTTCCCAAGAAGGAGGAGGCTGTGTCCTGCTCAGGGCTGGCAACATGGATGAGTAATAAGAGAGAGAAGGAACGTAGAGGGGAGAGAACCGCCAGCATGAATGCCGCCCCACGCATCCACACAGGCTACGAGATGGTGCACAGAACTCACTGAGCAGACTGCCTGGCGTGTGGAGCATGCTTAATAAATGCTGGCTATTATTACCATTATTATTAATACTATTTATAACTACAGCTCTGTTTTATAAAAAAAAAAATAACTAGTTTTCAGAACACACTCCTCCAGGCTTCCTGCTCCATTAATATTCAACTTACTTATTTAAATTTAATTTTTTCAAGGTCTTGTGTTTAATTTTTTAAAAACCTCGTGAATTATTAGCATTTTAATGAATAATGACATTTAATAAATAATAACACTAGCAAGGGCTCAAAACGTAAGCCATTTAATTTAACAACGTACCTGTGTTTTCTCAAAAAAGAAACAGAAGAAAAAAATGCCTACAAGAAACTTTACACTGTGGACAAATGTTCTCTGTAATTTGAACTTCTGGCTTTTTTTAAAAAAATTATTGTTATTAGTGGGATAATGGCTTTGCAGTATCCCCAACTCTATGTATCCCCAATTCTATGTAGGTAGAAGTACCCAGCTAGAGTTAATTTTATTTAGAAATTGCAAAGCATGTACTATGTACTGCATTAGTCTAATATTCTAAGGGCTTTGGAAATATGAATTCATTTAATCCTCATAACAACAATGGGAAGTAGATGCTATTATCATTCTCATTTTTTAGATGAGGAAACTGAGGTACAAAGAGGTTATTAACTTGCCCAAAGGTGCATAGTTAGTAAGCACAGAGCTGGGATTCAAACCCAGGGAGTTGGCTTCAGAATCCATTTTCTAAACCATTATACATATTGCCTCTTCTCGCACCAAGGAGGAGTCTTAGGAGGTATAGGAAGCAATTTCCCATTCTCCCTCAGATATAGGGGATAGTGGTAATACTAACAGCAAACTGAGGTTATCTCACATTAGGTCTTGGAGAAGTGAGGAAGGTGGCACACGGACCGTAATCTAATCCTTTAGCATAGGTTGGGAAGAATAAAAATGCCTCTGGGTAAACACGTTTTATTTTATGTGAAGTTCGTGTATGTGTATTTGTGTATGTTTATTGTGTCCATAGTTTGAAGTGTATAGGCCTTTACATTTATACGAACTGTACTTAGAAACTCCTAATGTCTACGGAAATTCATATCATAAAGAGCATGCGTGTAAGAAATCTTTTGATCTTTTTACATTTTATGGTAGTGGTTCTAGTAGTAATTCAACACATAAATGAAAAGTAATTCAATGCACATTGCTTCTTAAACAAGAGGTTCAGGTATGTTGGCTGTTGCATCAGTTATGAAGAAGACATTCCTGTAGGTGTGGTGGCATGCTTCCCTCCCTGCCAACTCCAACCTCCCCAGGAGCTCCAAGCCTTTAATCTTCCCACAAAGAGCTTTAAGTCCATCCTTGGTTCACACTTGAGTTTTGCCTCTTGTTTGAGAATGACATCAGAAGGGAAGGGCTCCTGCTTCTCCCATGCCTCAGCCATTGCAGGTTCTTTCAGAGACAGGAGGGTGCACTGCCATGGCCATGTAGGTGACCCAGGATGCTATTTCTGGGCTTTCCAGTGGTGACAGTTCCTTAACCCTGTCACACCGAGATGGCAGAAGAACAAAATACTATAATAAAATGACATCAAATTAAAAACCAAGCAGGATCCAATGTGAGCTCTTCTATAAATAACTTATGAAAAGTGAAAAGATGTTTCTGTTAGCAAATTTAAAATAATCGTTAGAATCCTTCAACAGATTGCTGCTAATTAGATTGAGAATTAAATAGCTTTGTATGAGTGTAGAGTTAATTAATAGCTCATTACTTTTTTAATAAGCCAAATTCATTTGGAAACAGAAAAGAGACAGCAAAGTTCATCATGGATGAGATGTTAGATTGGGATTATTTCTCCTTCCCTTGATGAGAGGAGTTTAATTAAGGCAGGAGACAAATTTGTATCATGAATAAGTTGCATGCAAAACCCCAGCATTAAGAGTTGGGGAAAGCAGCAAGTATCCTTATTTTAAAAGCCTCCTTGGGCCATATAGGGTTAATAAAAAGTGTGCTTGAGTCTCCCTGTTCAACTTTTTGGTTTCAATTCAGTTATAAAGTAAAACTTTTTGAAGCTAGGTAGGTTCATTCAAGCCAGTGGAACTTCCTTGTACTCATATTGATTTAATTTTCATTCTTTTTCATTCCAGATGCACTAGGATCTTACTTTGAAAGCAATCTTCCCTTTTCCCGAATATTTTCGTTTCCTTTCACCCTCATCCTTTCTTTCCACATAGTCTCAAATTTCATTATTTCTTCATCTAGTTTTCTGACCCTTAGATGCCCCTTATGTTATATAACATAGAGTAGAATGGAGTGCAATGAAATGAATAACTTCTGATTTTGAAAGCAGGTGCATCTCATTATCCCATATGGAAATTTTCTGTTCCATATTGTTTGCAAACATAGAGGAACCAATTTCTACAAGGCAGTCTTTCAGAAGTAGTCCTTGTCACCCCTTGGAGTTGGATAGATTGATGAATTTGTCTTTCAGGGTGGGTATGTGATGTTGTCTCCTTTTGCCTTCTACCCATTCAAATAAAAATCATTCCTCTTCAGATGTGAAAGAGCTGTTCGATGTCATCTGGTCAAAAGCTAGTAGAATACATTATTCCTCTGATAACACCCCTGCTAAGTGTGGGTCTAGTTTCTGCTAAACCAATAGATGTAACTTGGGTTCCTTTGTTGCATCATTGTATACACATGATGACATGTTCCATGTAAGTGGATTGGAGACTTCTCACCTGGAGCAGGAGGGAGGTCAGCAGAGAATGTCTCTTTCTGGAGAAACATTAAATGTCCTGCCTAGTAATGGGATGACATCCCCCTTGACAATGAACCATGACTTGCATGTGAGTTTTTAATTTTTAAATAGGAGGTGTGTTTGGCTCTGCTAAGCATGAAAGTCTGATAACTAGTAGCTCATTTCACAAGCTGTTGGCCCACTCCAGGAGTAATTAACATGGCCTATTTCTCAAAGGGTGATTAATTCTCACCTGTGCTTAATTCCACAAATTTTCTGGGGTGGGGTGCAGGGGGATCGCTTTTTTCCTTTCCTTTCCAAATGAAGACTTGAGCTCTCTAGCTCTCTGCTTTTGAGGCCTCACTTTTCACCAGATTATTATCTTTTTTCTTCTTTCAACAGTTCTGTTCTTTGAAACAGAACCTGGAACTCAGAGCTCTCTCAAAGAACTGAAAGAAGTGCATATACAAGTCCCATTGTGGAACTGCCCTCAAGGAGTGATCCAACAGAGCAGTGCGAACTGAGACTTGCTCCTGTGACCAGATGACACAGAGGGTCTCAGGTGCCTGCTAACCTGGACCTCAGGATGCTTGTTTAGCCCTGCCCTTGACTCACCCCATCCATACTATGACTCATATTCCCTTGATTTTCCCTGCCTCCTGTTTCTTCTTTTCTAGCTATTCCCAACAACCGAGACATAGTTGGCTCATGATAAATGTTTTATGGATTCCTTGTTTTTGGATAGATGTCTGTGTTTCTTGGTGTTATCTGAATTTCTCTCTTCCCACCAACATTGGACTTGATCTTAGTGGTACTGCCCTCCACTGCTCCTGGCCCCACCCAGACCGCCCTCATCTCTCACCCCCGCCACAGGTGACTACACTGGTGTCCTTACTAACCTGCCCACCTCCCCACTTCCTGGGAGAAGCCAGAGTGATTTTTAACAAATGTTTTATTGAAATATACCATATTTACAGAAAAGGACATATGTCTTAACTGTACAGCTTTATGGATTTCATAGACTTGTCAGCCATGGAAACAGCACCCTGATGAAGAAAAATAGGGTATTGTCAGCACACCAGAATCTTCCCCATCCATTCCCTGTCACTATTCTCCCCAAAGGTAACCACTGTCTTAACTCTGGGGTGATTTTTAAAGTCATCAACCAGATTTAGTCACTTTCCTACTGAAAACTCTCTGCTATAATTTGGATTTGGTTTGTCCCCACCAAACCTCATGTTGGAATTTGATCCCTGGTGTTGGAGGTGAGACCCAGTGGGAGGCGTTTGGGTATTGAGGGTGGGTCCCTCAGGAACAGATGAATGCCTTCCCTGGGGATGAGTGAGTGCTTCCTCTGTTAGTTCTCATGAGAGCTGTTTGTTAAAAAGAGCCTGGAACTTCCCCCTATCCCCCACTCTTTTTGTGTGTGTATGTGTGTTGGGGTCTCACTCTGTCACTCAGGCTGGATTGCAATGGTGTCATCATAGTTCACAGCAGCCTCAAACTCCTGGGCTCAAGTGATCCCCCTGCCTCAGCCTCCTGCGTGGCTCTTGGTTCCTCTCTTGCCATGCAATCTCTGCACACAATGGCTCCCCTTCACCTGCCACTGAGAGTGGAAACAGCCAGAGGCCCTCACCAGATACAGATTACCAATTGAACTTTTCAGCCATCCAGGATTGTAAGCCAAATTAACCTTTTCTGTTTATAAATCCTCCAGCCTCAAGTATTCCTTTACAGCAACACAAAACACACTAAGACATTCTCCAATAGCTCATCCCGTTGCTCTTGAGATAAAAGTCAAACTTTTTACCATTCTATGTCAAACCCTTGCCTTCATTCTTTTTTTTTTTTTTTAATAGAGGGATTGTCTGAAGAAAACATTTTGCCAATTAAAATCACTTTTTTTTTAAAATTTTGAGGCAGGGTCTCACTCTGTTGCCCAGGCTAGATGCAGTGACTTGATCATAGCTTACTGCAGCCTCCAACTCCTGGGCTTAGGGGATATTTTTGCCTCAACCTCCCAAGTAGCTGGGACTATGGGCTTGCACCACTGTGCCCAGCTAATTTTTCTGTTTTTTGTAGATCAGGGTCTCGCTATGTTGCTTAGGCTGGTCTTCAACTCCTGGCCTCAAGTGATCCTTCTGCCTTGGCCTCCCAAAGTACTGGGATTACAGGCGGGATGCCTGGTCTTGCCTTCATTCTTGACTCACCTCCCCACCTCTCTCTTCCCTCCCTCTCTATTATCCAGCCACACTGGTCCCCCTAAAAATTCCTAGAACATGCCAAGTTCCTTTTTATCCCCTGGACCTCTCCATGTGCTGAGCCCTTTTCCTAGAATTCTATTTCTCCAAATTTCTTCCTCATTTGAGATCTTAGCTTGAATGGTACCACTTTGATGAGGTCTTCCTTGCCTACCTAGCCTAAACTTAGCCTTTCTCATTTACCCCCTCTGTGACATCCCCTGTTTTTTCCCATTTCGACTTATCATCTGTAATGTCTTGAGTAGTTTTTCTTTGGTTGTTGCTTGTGTTTCCATTTGAATATCCACGCAAGTGAAGGGAGGGACCACGTATGACTTATTCATTGCCATATCCTCAGCCCCTAATGCAATAGGAGCTAAATAAATATTGGATGAAAAAATGAAAAAATGAACACAAAGTATACTGAGTGTGACTGTCACATCTTAAGGGACCAAAGGCAGGGAGTGAAGTCTGGTCCCCTGGCTAAACCCTCAGATCAGGCTGGGATGGCCTGGCCCTGGTGGGTGCCTATGTTTCCTGAGCCTTGGAGGTGTTTGGGACCCTTATATCTGGTGAGTTTAGAAAAGCTACCATGGGCTACCATGTTCCATCTGAGCAGTCAGCAAGAGGAATGGGCCCCAAATCCATTTTGATGTGTGGGGGCTCATCCAGCCACAGTCTGCTGTGATTATGACTTCCTTTTTGTAAGGAATTCTAATGTCTTTCCCACACTGTCCTGATAGTATCATTCACATGGCGACAGTCCCTGCATTATGGCACTTGCATCCTACTCATTGCTCTATTGTGTCCTGGAGAGGAAGGAAAACAGCAGAGAAAGGGAAAAGGGAAAAAAGGAAATAGGAAAATTCAGTAAGGGCTTGACCTGTCAGATTCCTCAGGTGTGGCCATCCAATTAATACAGGGTAGTGGGGTACTGGAATTTTAGTGACTTTATCCTAGATTAGTGCTGGAGGCAATGCATTTGGCTATTGTATTTCTTCTTACTTTAAAATAGGGACTTAAAGAGGATACGGTTATTTGCCTCTTTTAGAAAGTTTTTTTAGATCTCAGACCTTAAAATTTTATTTTGGTTGTCCCATTGCATGGCTCAGAGCAGTGATTTTAACACTCTTACAATGGTCTGTCTGGTGAGATGATGTTTATTTTGTTTTTCACATTGCTGTTGGCTTCAAGTACATTTTCCATCCCCCACCCTCAGTACAATGCTGGGGGTATTTGGAGTGCTTTGTTTCTGAAGTGGTCCCTATATGCAAACAAGGACAACTCTGATTTAGAAGACCCTCGAAGGGGAGGTTCCTTATCCATACTCAAGCACCCTCCCCAACCTTGTCATTCAAGTCACATGTTTCGGTTATCTATTGCTGCGTGACAAATCACGCGAATCATAGTGACTTACAACAATGTATTATTATCTCTTCTGGTGCTGTGGGTTGACTAGACTCAGCTGGGCAGTTTCTTGTTGAAGTCTATTATGAGATTGCGGAAAGGTAGTATTGGAGTACTGGGACTGGAGTCATCTGAAGGCTCAGCTGAGCTGGATGTCCAAGATAGCCCCCTCACGTGGTTGGGGGTTGGTGCTGGGAATTGGCTTGACACTAGACAGCTGTGGCTATCAATCATATAGCCCACAAGTAGCTTCTCCGTGTGGCTTGAGCTTCTCGTGGTGGGGCTACTGAGTTCTGAGAGGGAGTGTCCCCAAAACAAGAGGCAGGGAATGGAAGATGCCAGGCCAGGTAAGAGTACAACAGTACTGTAAGCAGTACAACAGTACTTCTGCCATATTCAGCTGATCAAGGTAGTCAAAGGGCCCACCCATATTTGAATAGATGGAGAAATAGACTCTATCTCTTGATAGGGGAGTTGTCAAGATCACTTTGCAGAAGACTGTGTGGGGCAGGAGATAATATTGCAACCATCTTTGAAAAATAGAATATGCCACATTTTCTCTCCCATTTCTTCAGCTTTCCCTGCCTGCAGTTATTCCAAAAGGCAGTGTGCTTTGGGACTGATTCCCTATAGGGAAGCCTGGCCCAACATTAATTCTGACATTTTAAAGGTATTACCTACACAAATATTAAATATGTCAGATTAAGATGCCATTTCCTTCCAAACTCATCCCCCCCACCCAACTATGTGAAGACTTTTAAATTGTTTTTCTGGACTCTGGCAACCACTGTGTAGGAAGTGAATTTCTGACGATTCTTCCCTTACTTCTTGTGTTTAGATAACCCTCGTATGTAAACCTGTTTTAATTTCTGCTGGCATTGTGTAATTGCAATATCGATCCTTTAGGCTGAGAACAAAGTGCTTGTTAATGCAACTGACTCCATCTGCCTATGGAGACATTAACCAGGAAGCTGAACTTGGTGTTAAATGACTGCCGTTTGTTATTTTTCTGTTACACCATTTATTCCAACTATTTTTGCAACCTAATGGAAGATGGTGTCTTATATTTTATTTTATTCTTTTAACCAAGAGGATGTGAAAATTTTCAAGTTGTATTGCTGTTTTAGTTTTCAGGAGAGATTAGCCAAGTGAATTGGTAAATGTATGTTTTTCTTCTTTTCCTTGCTGCCTCCTTCTTTCAGCAAACTTTTCTAAAGGTGATGAATAGCTGGGAAGATGAAATGTCCACCCTCTGCAGACTAGCTGTCTCCCACACACTCCTAGCTGCATAGCAATCTGAGACTATTTTTCCCCCTCATTTGACTCTGCTTGTAGGTTTTGGGTCCTCTTCAAAAGATTGGTATCTTCATTTCACTTGAAAATTCTTTAAAACAGTCTGCATCCCTTTTCCTCTTTTAAGTAGAAACAGAAATAGAAAAGTTAAAAAATTTAAAATATATTA